GCGGGGCTGCATATGAGGTTCATTGTCTGTAAATTGAACCCAAGACTCTCATGTGGAGGGAGAACATTCAGCTACTGAACCACCAGTAGAACCCAGGAAAATAAGTGCATAGCTGCTTTCAATTCAGTAAACACATAGCAGTGCCTACTATGTACATGGCACTTTGCTAGGTATGTGAGGATGCCAAGATGAGTAAGACATAGCTTTGACCTCAGAGTGGTAGCAGATCGGTTTCATCTCTTGTGCCAACTCTAAATAGTTGGCAGTGGCTGCAGGGCTGTGTTAAGAAGGAATCTGAGACCTCATTCAGGGTCAGCTAAAAAGAGTGCCACAATCGATTAGTGATGTCTGCTGTGAGCAAAGGGAGGGGAACGTGGCAGCGTATATGCCAGAGAGCTGACATTGCTGGACCACAGGGTGGGGGGCTGAACAGACTGTGGGAATGGACAGGGGCCCTGCTGCAGCCAGTCTAGCATGTATTCCAGTTCCTCTGTGAGCAGCATCTTTAATAGATGGAAAAGGACTGTTTTGTAATACAGCCTGCACTTCTTGGGACATTCACTAAATAATAGCTATCAGCCAACACTGCTTTCACAGAGCTATTTCCCCTTATTCTCACAATCCTGAGGAATAAGCAGGGCTGGTATTACTGTCCTCATTTTCTGGATCAGGAAATAAATGAAAAGAGAGAGAAAGTGAGTTGCCTGAGCTTCCACAGAAAGAACTAGAGCCAGAAGCAGACCCAGAACCTGGCACCGGAGCTTGAGTTACTTGATCCTTTGTACACGGCTTCCTTGGGGGATGCGGTCGTGACCATTTATTAGGCTTGCACAGGACTTTACAGCTTGCAAAGCACTTTCACATCCCTCATCTCAGTTCATCCTCCCAGGTGCTCTCCTGATGAGTGCTGACACCTCCATTTTAACGCTAGGGAAACTGAGGGTCAAAGAGGGGAAGGGAAATAGAATTGGTAGAGTGCACTGATCCCCAAATTCACTGCCTGGGAGGGGGAAGAAGGCAGAGGGGAAAGGGAAAAGCAGGAGGCAGTGTGTTCCTCCAGGCTTCATTGGGGTTGGGCAGTGACAGGCTGGGAACCTCCAATTGTCCCATCTTCAGCTGGAGAGAGTGTGGCTCAGAGGCCCTCAGGCCCAAGCCAGGAATCAATCGCTGGCCTCTGCAGAGACAACTTCTAAAGATGTTTTTAATTAAAGTCCAGGAAGATCTATATGTGCAATATCTCCTTGCCTAGCAACAGCACTGGCTCTCACTGCCCAGCTCGGGGAAGCAGGACAGGAGGCTTCTGTTTGGGGAGCGGTGGCAGGAAGGATCAGAGGGGCTGGCCCTCAGGAAGGGACCCCACAGCCCTGGTAGTCTGAGTAGGGAGGAGTGTATCCATGCTCTTCTTTGTCTTTTTCGTCAATAATTCATTCAACAAACACGAGCACCCTTGTCTACGCCTGTGCCTGCATGACAATGGGGTACAAAGGTGCAGCCACCATCCTGCCCTCAAATGTCAGTGTAGACTAGGTGCTGTACAGTTGTTGAGTGAATAAATGGAACAGAATTATAAGCAAAAATCCTCAACTTTCTGCAACTGGCTTTGTTGTTGTTGTTATGTGCCATCGAGTCGGACCCGACTCATAGCGGTCCCTCCTTGGGTTTCCAAGGCCGTATCACTACGGAAGTAGATTGCCCAACCTTCCTTCTGAGGAGTGGCTGGTGGGTTTGAACTGCCAGCCTTCTGGTTCACAGTCAAGTGCCTTAGGCACTACACTGCCAGAGCTCCTTCTGCAGTTGGCAGAGGGATCCTATTACCAACATTTAAAAGTGTTGCTGTCCCAAACAAAGAGGTCACCAGACTACTTAACCAAGCATTCCAAGTAAGTGTTGAGAGGACCAATGGCTTATGGGACTCACTTTGAGGTGGTAGGAGAGTCCTGTCTCTTGGGGGGACCTATTAAATCCCATACAGACACTGGGGTTGCCTGCATGGGGAAGTCCATGCTGGGACTCACAGGAAAAGAGGTAGTGAGGGGAGGGTGTGCTGGTTCCCCCGGAGCCTGGAGAGTGTGTGTGTGCAGCGTTGGGTCCCCCACACCGTCAGGCCCAGCAGGCCTCCTCTGCTGCCTCCTCGCATTCTTTCCTTTGCGCCATCTCTGATGCCGTTCGTTTCTCTCCCACTGTTTCTGTATATCCCGACTTCCTGACTTTCTCCTTGTGTTTCTTTCTCTTTTGTCTTGCTGTCTCTGTTCCACTCTCTCTGTTTCTGTGTATCTCTGCCACTCTGACCCTCATCTCTTTGTCTCTGTCCTCAGTGCTCTCTGTCTCTGGGCATCTTTGTCTTCCCTCTTTCTTTCCATCCCTCTCCCCCTCGTTTCCCTGTCCTGACCCACTTTCTTTCCCCATCTCTCTGGGCCACCTTCTCTGTGCCTTGTCTCTGGACCTGTCCCTCCCCTTCCCGCCTGTGACCTCTCCCGCCCTCCCAGCAGCCTCGTTCCTGTGTCTCCTGTGTATCATTCATCCACATTAGGCTGCCCTGACTGGGCAGCCAGAAGCGGGTCGAGGCCAGCCCAGTGAGCCAGCGTTACAAGTGATGATCCAAGAGGGAGCTGGGGGCGGGGGTTAAGGAGAGAGCTGGGGGGGGGGGCTTGTTTCCTGTGTAATCTGAGCATTCCGGGGGAATCGACAAGTGGTTTTTAATTTTTAATAGAAGGCATTCTGTGCGGCTCTGGTAGCAGCAGGGAGTGGGACTCATTTTTTATAAATGTTTGAGAAGCTAAATGTGAGCCGAGGGTTTCCCCGGGCCCAGCAGGGCGGCAGTGGGAAGTAGGAAAGAGACAGGATGATAATAATTACAAACGTCTTCATAATAATGACACTTGGTCACCCCGGTTGAGGACTCTGTTCTTTTCCAGCGTGCTTCTTCTCTTTTATCTCATGAAGGCGTCTCCCACAGCTTGGGGAGGGGGGTGGAATGAAGGGATCAAGTGTCATCTCCGTCTTACAGAAGGGGAACTGAGGCCCAGGCAGGTCGGGGAATTTTCCTACAGCCACGTCTAGACCGAGAACAGGGCTGGCAAGAGATTTGATGTCCCCTGTCCCCGAGCCCCACTCCCCACAGCACTACCCCTCCCCGAGCTGTCTGGAGCTCCTCCTGCGGCTTCTGGAGCCAGAGTCTGGGGTTCAATTGGACCTCACAAATAGTGGAAGCTAAAGGAGAAGAGAAGAAAGACTTGTGTCCTGAGAGCCAGGACTTAGTTCCAATTCTGACTTCATGGTAAACCTGTCAGAGCCGTCAGGTAAACCAGAAATGGAAAGTGGGCAGACCAGCCTCCTCCCTCCTGATGTTGGTGCCCAGGGGTCTTCTACTCTGGGCCATGGCCATGCCTCCTATGACCACACAGAGAGAGGGGAGAAGGAATGGGTCCTGTTGAGGACCCACTACCTGCCTGGCTTCATCACTCACTGAAATCCCTCATCTTTAACCTTCACTGCAGAGTGGGCCCCTCTAAGATTACAGATGAGGAAGCAAGTCAGACGGGGAAAGATTTGGCCAAGGCACACAGTGAGGAAGTGCTAGGATTTGAACCCAGGACTCTGATGCCAGTGTCTGCTCAGTCTCCTTGGAGAAGTGGAGGCATCTCCTCTCAGGAGTGTCCGACTCCTCATGCTGACTTTATCTATAAAGAAAACACCTGATTTGGTGGCCTGAGTCATCCTTGTTGCTTTCTGATGGGTATCAGTCACAGTGCAGGCACTGGGAGTCTGCAGAGGGTGACGTGACAGCTAGGCAGAGCTGGGCTTAGTACCTTCCCACACTTCCTATGATGTGCCCTTGGGCAGGTCATGAACCCCTCTGTGACTCAATTTTCCCATCAGTCTAATGAAGCCTTGGGTCTAGGAGAGCAGTTCTTAGCCCACCAGGATGCACCTAGAATCATTGTGGGAGCTTGTAAAAATACCTTTTTTCACCACCAGAGAGTCCTATTTTATTGGTCTGGGGTGGGACAGCATGTTTTATTTGAAAGCTCCCAGGAGATTCTTCTGTGCAGCCAGGTTGAGAACCACTCATTTCTGAGCTCTCCAAGGACCAGCTTTGCCAGCTCTAACATTCCACATGGATCCCTGGGCCCTGAGGTCCTGCTAACCCAGAAATCAGTTAGACAGCCCCTCCTATTGCAGGCCAAACTCAGACCCTTAACCCCACCTAGCAAAAGGGCTTGGCGTCAGCACCATGGACAGCATACTGTACTGCCCTTCAGGTCACACCCCTGAAGTTCCACATTGAAAAGGACTGCCTGGGACGGAGAGTCCTGAACCCAGCTCCTCGTCCTTCTCCTCTTCCCTCCTCCTCCTTTTTCTGACCCCTCTCTCTCACTCACCGTCTACTTCTGCTATCCCTTCCTCCCACCTATAAGGCAGGGTACCCTTGCCAGATGAACTTGTTACTTTACTCAGCCTTCATTTCCTCATCTGTAAAGTGGAAATTTTAATAGAGTTTACTTCAAAGCTTTATTGTATAAGTTCCGTAAGATAATACACCCAGCAGGCCTGTTATAGTATCTAGCACAAAGCTGTTATTCAAAGGAGCTCTGGTGGTGTAGTGGTTAAGGCATTTGGCTGTTAACCAGAAAGTTGGTGGTTCAAACCTACCAGCTGCTCCATGGAAGACAGATGAGCAATATGCTTCCATAAAGATTTACAGCCTTGGAAATCCAATGGGGGTTGCTATGAGTCAGAATTGACTCTATGGCAGTGAGGTGTTTTTAAAAAAATCATTATTATTTGGAACTCTGGTGTTGCGGTGGGCAAAGCATTTGGCTGCTAACTAAAAAGTTGGTGGTTCAAACCCACTAGCTTCTCTGTGGGAGAAAGATGAAGCAATTTGCTTCTGTAAAGATTTACAGCCTATGGGGCAATTCTACTCTGTCCCATAGGGTCACTGTGAGTCAGAATTGACTTGATGGCAGTGGGTTTGGTTTTCATTATCATTGAGTGAGGCACTGGTGGTTCAGTGGTAGAATTCTCACCTTCCATATGAGAGACCCGAGTTCAATTCCCTGCCAGTGCGCCCCATGCCTGGTCACCACCCATCTGTCAGTGGGGGCTTGCGTGTTGCTATAATGATGGACACGTCTCAGCAGAGCTCCCAGACTAAGACAGACAAGGAAGCAAGGGCTGGCCATCTCCTTCTGAAAATCAGCCAGTGAAATTCTTGACTCACAGTGATTGGATCCAGTCGTGAAGATGACTCAGGACCGGGCACAATTTCATTCCATTGTGCATGACATCACTGTGAGTTGGGGGCCAACTCCATGACAGCTAGCAACAACAGCATCATTATCATTGTTGTTGAATAATGATGTGTAATTAATAATGGAGTTCATTGCCAATTCATATTTTCACCCTCGACTGTGCATAACAGTTTCCTTGGCTATAAGAGGGAAGGATGCAGTGGTGTCGCTGGAGCTGGCTCATACCAGCTCGCAAGAGCCCAGCATTGATTTTCAGGAGTTTTGCAAGCCACTTGATGTCCCATTGGTAGCTTGAAAATGTCCATGATAAGAGTATTCACACCACGGAAACTAGCAAACGCTACAAAGCAGGGGTTCCTCCACCCTAGAGCCAATGAGTAGATATTTTTCTAGCATACCACTGCGTCTGCATCACAGAATTGGTGTGAGGACTGGAGGAGAGACTGGACTCGAAGGTGCATTGCTACGTGTAAAGTGCTGAACCTGCAGACATGACCCGGAGGTGGCCCCACAGCAGCCCCAAGCCTGGCACCTCTTTGTCTGCCAATTCTGAGGAGCTGCTGACTTGTGAAGAAGGTGGGAGGTGGGGTGTGGCTTGATGAAGCCATTCCCCTAGGGCCTGGTGGTGAATCACTGACCCTTCACCATCCCCACGTGTTGGCATTAACTGTAATGGCTGCAATAAAGAATCCTGGATTGGGGAAATGATTCCATCATCCCCGTGGGAGTCCCTGGGATGCAGCCAGGAAGAGGAGAGAATGCTCAGCCGGGTCCCTGGGGAGTCACTCAGCCCAGCATTGTGCCTTGCCCAGGGGGTGGGAGGGACCTGGTGGGGGAGTGTTGGGGAGACCCTCTCTCATGACAGTTACAGCAGCCACTATTTATTTGAGGACCTGCCACGAGCCTGATGCTTTGTGTATCTTCTCCCACTTCAGTACCTCTGCGAGGGAGGCACAGTTGTGCCATTGTGTACTGCCATGCTGTGCCTCTTGAGATGACAACAGCAAAAGCCTGCATTTATTGAGTTCCTAGCGTGAGCCAGGCACTGGCCTTGGTGCTGAACATGGAAACCTATTTGAATTCTCGCATCAACCCCAGGACTTTGCTAGTACTGTACTGTTGTGTACCTGGTTCCACAAATGAGCAAATTGGGGCACAAAGGGGTTCATGACATGCCCAAGGTCGAACTGCTGCTAAGTGGCAGAGTCGTCACTGACTATAACGCAGTGCACTAGGCCACCTTCCCCAGAGTTCCTGTGCCTGCATTGATACCAGCACCCAGAAGAGCTTTGGCATCAGTGAGTCCTGGGTTCAAATCCCACCACTTTCTCGCTGTGTACCCTGGACCAAGTCTTTCCCCCTGTGACCTGTTTCTTCACCTGTAATATTAGAGAGCCCCCTTCTGCTCTCAAAGATGCTGTGAGGATTCAAGGTGATGAATTTAAGTGACTGGCAAAGTCGGGGATGTAGTGAGTGACTGATAGTGGGTGTCCCTCTCCATATGTGGTGAGGAGGCACCTGAGACAGTGCCCTTAGCCCTGAGTAGAAGACCCCTGGGCACCAGCATCAGGAGTGAGGGGGCTTGCCCACCCCTTTCCGTAGCTTCTGTGGGCAACTCACATGGTTGACATGGAGCTGGATGTGCTGGAGAGAGAAGCGCATTGCAGGGCCAGTTTAGGAGGCTCGAGCTGGGAGGGGCGGGGGGGACCCAGTGAGGGAAATGAGAAATGCAAAAGAGTGAAAAATAAATACATGTGTCTGTTTGGAATGATCGAGGGCCCCAGGCTGGAGGGGGGAGAGGCGGGCAGCAGGCTGGGCTGAGCAGAATTGCTGCAGTAGCACTTCCAGACTCTCACTCATTAGCCAGGCAGTGAACTGGCCTCACCTCCCAGCATGCAGCCTGCTGGCCAGGAGAGCCGAACCTGGCCCCAGGAAGGCCTCATCCAGACCCTCAGCAGGCCTAGGCCCCACCCCACTGCAGCAGGACACCCAGTAGAGGGCATCTCCCTGAAGTGGGTCTGATTCTTATCCCCCCATGGGTCATAGCCTGAGCCCCAAGACCCCCTTTTCTTAGCTCTCCACCTTACCCCTCCTCTCTGGCAAATTTCAGATGGACCAGATAGCTTTGCTGGACCCTCCATCTGACCCCTCCCCCAACCCCACCACCGCCCAGTCCAGCCTCACGTCCCAAGTCCTGCTTTCGTCAAATTGAACATGATGTCAAATTAGAGCCATCTCTGGGACAGGCCGAGAGAAGCTCCCGGTTTAATGAGGCAGCGTCGAAAATCAATAACTTAATTGCCGCTGTTTGATGGACTTTTATCCAATTTATACTCTCCCCAGCAGCTACGTGCAGAGCATAAGGAGGGGGAGGTTGTCTGAGCACTTGGGGGAGGGGCAAGGGGGGCACCAGGGCCCACAGCCATCTCCTTCCCAAAGGGAAAGCCAGGCCCTGCTGTCATCCTGCCCAGGGACCCTGGGGCCAGGGGCTCAGGGCTCTGAACTCCCAAGGACCTGTGTTGCCCCTCAGGGGCTGGAGGGGGCAGATGTCCCCATTACAGGGGGGAGTCCCTTGAGGAGCCACAGGGTGCTGGGATACCTGCCCTGGGAGGCAGGGGCCTGGTTGCAACCCTGACTGAGGGCAGGGTGGAAGTGATGGTTGCCACCTGTTGAAAGCTCCAGCAGCACAGTGGTTACGTGCTTGGCTGCTAAATAAAAGGTTGGCAGTTCAAACCTACCCAGCAGCTCCTTGGGAGACAGACCCTGCGATCTGCTCCTGTGTAGATTACAGCCTAGAAAACTCTACAGTGCAGTTCTTCTCTGTCACATGGGGTCACTAGGAGTCAAAAATGGACTCAGTGGCACCCAGCAGCCACCACTACCACCACCACCACCACCGACACATTGCTCTGCGCCTGCCTGCGTCCTAAATTTAAATGCACTCCCTCAATCTCTTGGACCAAGGACTAGGGTTATCTATTTCGTTGGGGGCAACAGACTTGAGAGGCTGCCCCGAAGGGCGATTGGAATCCAGTTCTGACTCCATGGCCAATGTGGTGCCACTACGAAGGCTGCTGGTCAGGAAGCGGGATGGGGACGGTAGGAGGATGGGCACTGAGGTGCGCTTTCTTTGATGACTGCCAGCCTCGGTCTCCTCTCTCAGCTTCCCTGGGATGGGGAGGTGTTGGGAAAGGTGGGGGCCAAGAGCACAGTGGCCCAGGTGACCCCTGTCTCGCTTGGTCCCCTGGATCCAGGCACGTCGGTGATGCAGGTGATGGCCTCCGACGCGGATGATCCCACTTACGGCAGCAGTGCTCGGCTGGTGTACAGCGTGCTGGATGGAGAACACCACTTCACCGTGGACCCCAAGACCGGTGAGGGGCAGAGCCAGGCCGAAGGGGCGGGGCACGGAGCCACGCCAGGGGGTGCGGTTAGAGGGACCATCAGTATAGTTGGGGTGGGGGCTTCCGGTGAAAGGCACCTTATGAGCAACTTTGAAAGCTCCATTCACTGGGCAGTTGTTAAGGATCCAGTGAAACCTCTTTAGAGGGGAGTCACTTAGAGACTGTTAATGGATAGGTGACTTCTTTTCGTCCCCTTCCCCAACACCACTAAGCAATGGAGTCGCCCCCTCACCCACCGTCGCCCCTCACCCACCGTCGCCCCTCTGTCTGTGGGATTGGAACCTGGCTGCTTTTCTGAGGGGGTCCTGGGAGAGGCAGGGAGGATGGATGGAACAGGAGACTGAGATTCCGAGATGGGCAGCGACTTGCGCCCAAGCAGCTGGAAGTGGCTGCAGAGTCCATGGGTGGTGTCTCGAGGCCCATTGATACAGGAGGAACAAGGCAGGGGTGAGGGCAGAAGATGAGACTTCAGACGTCACAGAACGTTTAGCAAATGCCTTCCTGGAGCTCACAGCTCGGTGGGGGCAGAAGGCAGCCATACACACGGGAGATTAGGGTGCAAGGCTTCTTGGAGGCGGTCTCAGTGGACCTGCAAAGGGTAGTTTTTGACGTTGGTCAGACTGAGATTGCAGAGGAAGGGCATTCCAGGAGGAGGGCAGGGCGCGGGCAAGAGCTGGGCGGAAGAGCTCAGCGTGAGGCATGAGAGGAATCGTAAGCAACCCGGACTTGGGGAAGCTGCAGTGGCTAGAGAAGAAGCGGGGGGCTGCGTGGGGGGTGAGGCTGAGGAGTTTGTATTTTATTCGACAGGCGATGGGAGGGGGCGTTGATGGATCTGGGTTTTTGCTGGTGTGTTTGCTTTTGTTTTGTGTTCTTTTTGCTCCCTCTCTCTCCATATAAAAGTAATACATTTTAGAAAAATTGGAACATTAAAGTAATGTGAAAAACAAAAAAGGAAAATACTTCCCACCCCCAGTAATTGAAGCCCCAAAGGTAGCCACTTGGTGTACATATCCTGTGAGATCTTGGGTTCCTTTGCTTGAAAAATATTATTTTTTAACAGAAAATGCATTTCAGTGTTCAAAATTCGAAGAGTCCAAAGAGGTATTTAGTGACAGTTCTTTACCCCATCCAATACCCCAGCCACCCAGTCACTGTCCCTAAGGCAACCAATGTAATTTTCTTGTGTGTCTTTGCAAAGATAGTCTCTGCATGTACAGGAGAATAAGTACATGTATTTGTTTTATTTTTTGCACAAACGGTAGCTATCTGCACTGCTTGCCTTTTTCACTTACCAATACATCTTGAAGATTATTTCCTATCAGTACCTAAAGAGCTTCCTCCTTCTCTCCTTTCACTTCTGTGATGGATACACTAACATTTATTTCACCAGTCCCCCATTGATGGACACTCACGCTGTTTCCAATCTTTTGCCACAACGAACAATGCTGTAATGAATAACCTGGTGCATGCATCACTTTGTGCTTGTGTGAATTTATCTGCAGGATAATTTTCAGGAGGTGGGAAAGTAGGGTCAAAGAGCATTTGGACTCTCAATAGATACTGCCTAAATGGCCAGATGACACTCCCGCCAACCACGTGAGCAACTCTCTGTTTCCCCTACTCCTTCCCAACACTGGGGGCTCATGGATGGCTTTTAAGCAGGGAAGTGACATGCTCAGGTTTTCATTTTAACAAGCTCCCTTGGGCTGCTGCTGGAGAGCTTGGCTCAGAGGCAGGAATTGGAGGCAGGAAGAGCCTGAGGTGCCTAGCATAGAGCCCCAAAGGACAAGAAACGGAAAGACTGTCCCTTCCTTGGTACCCATTCAGACTCCCTAACCTGCTCTGTGTGTTAGGAGGGCGGAGATGGTAAAGGGTTGATAGTGAGGGGTAGCTGAGGTGCGGGGGAGGGAGATGGAAGTGAGAGCCTGCCCAGAACAAACCAGTAGAACTTGGGGCCTGGAGGAGGGGACGTGATTAGGCTGAGGTAGGAATGCAGCGGGTTCCTAACTCGAGGGACAGAATGGGAAGGGGCAGCACCTGGAAAAATGGGAGGAATTGGCCAAGGAGCACAGGAATATGGGAATGTGTCCCAGGGTCTGGTGCCAAGCTAGAGAATTCAGTTGGAAACCTATGGGCTACAAGGTGATGAGAGAAAGGAAGAACGAGCTATCTGGACCATCCAGCAGGCTATCTGAAACAAGGGTCAGAGTTCTGAGTTAGGGCTTCTTAGGCTTTGGTTTCCCCATGTGCTCGAAGGAGGTAATAACACCCACCTACATGATTGCTGGGAGCTCTGGTAGCATAGTGGCTAAGACACTTGCCTGCTAACCAGATGGCTGGCGGTTCAAACCCACCAGCCACTCCTCGGAAGGAAGGTTGGGCAATCCTACTTCCGTAGTGATACTGCCTCAGAAACCCAAGGAGGGGTCGCTATGAGTCAGGTTTGACTCGACGGCACATAACAACAACAATCAAATTATGAGGATTCAACAAGTATTGAGTGCCTGCCATGTGCCTGGAGTCCCTGAGTGATGCCAACCATTAACATGCTCAGCTGCTAACCACAAGATTGCAAGTTCGAGTCCACCTGGAGGCACCTCAGGAGGAAGGCCTGATGATCTAGTTCTGCAAAGTCAGCCACTGAAAACTCTAAGGAGCACAGTTCGACCCTGACACACGTGGGGTCCCCATGGAGTCAGCTGGATGACAACTGGCTTTACTAGGTACCTAGCTCTGGGGACGCAGCAGTAGGCCAATCAAAGACCCTGTCCTCATGGCGCTTTTATTCAAATAAGGGATGCAGAAAATAAACATACTAACATATAATGTCAAGTAGTGATGAGGGGTCAGGTAGTGATGAGGGCTTGGAAGAAACATCAGGCAGGGTAGGGGGCAGACCTAGATTAAGAAATCAGGACAGGCCTTTCTGGAGTGGTGACACTGGGACAGAGACCTGCGTCAGTGAGGGTGTGAGCCATGCAGCGAGCTGGTGTGAGCCCATTGCAGGGCTAGAGAACAGCAAACAAAGTGAGCAGTGTAATACCAGGTGCACAAATGTGCAGCACGGGGCAGGTGGTGGAGATGATGAAGCTCTCATCCATTAGCCGGAGGAGGGAAGGGCCTTAGAGTCACTCAGCTTTTAGGAGGAGGAAGAGAGAGAACACAGAAGTAAAGGAAGGGCTGAGACTGGGTGTCGAGAGGTGACAGGGATGAGTAGATGACGAAGTGGACTCTGAGAGAATGACAAGGGAGGCTAAGCTCCAAGAAAAAGCATCTCCCACTACCAAGAGTTGGGAGAAGGATGGTAGCAGCTGGCAGGCCTGGGAGGGCAGGAACAGTTCCCAGGAAGCCAGGGGGTGGGCACCACACAAGGCAGGCAAGGAGTCCGGGTGGGGTTCTTGTTCTTGGAGGCTCTGGGGAAAGAAGGATCCATCAGCTTTCTCAGTCTGAAAGGGTCCTTATAGACATTTTCCAGAAAAGACCAGGTTTTTCCTTCTCCTGCCCACAGTCCCACCGCAGGAGCCGCCATGGTGCCATTCCCAGCCCAAGCTCCATCTCCCCAGCCAGGAATATTCCACTGATGCGGGTCTATATTTAGCAGCTGCTGCGAGGTACAGTCTGTTCTTGCTGTGCAGATAGCAGGGAGCAGAGCCGGAACGGGGCCTGAGAGGAAGGTGTGAGGGAAGGGCGGAGGCGGGGCGCCACCAGGCCCCAGTGCCAGCGGAGGAATTAACTTGTGTGTTTTAAAGGCCAGGCCTGCTGGTAAGCCCCCCACAGGGGCAACAGAGATGGCATTTGCAGGCTAATGAGGCATCATACGGGCTCCAGGGGCCCCTTCTGCTGCATTTGGAGGGGGCAGCGGGGGTGGTGAGGACAACAGCTGGAACTGGGGGTGGTGAGGGAGGACAGAGCAGCAGGGAGCCGTGGCCAGGTTCTAATTACCAGACCCTGCCCACCACCACCCAGCACAAATAGCAAGTTTCTATCTGAGACTTCAAGAGCCCTGCTGAAAATGCCCAGCTGGGCCAGTGATGTCGATTTTCCCTGGAGGGAATGGAGCTACCACTTGTTGAGAACCTAAGTGCCAGATCCCAGCCAAAACCAATTAGATAGCTGCACCCAGGCTGTGAGAAGGGAGGCAGAGGGATTGGGAGTCGGTCAGTGGTCTAAATGTTTATTGAGCACCTACTGTGTGTCAGATCCTGTAGGTGAAACAATGGCCAAGACCAACATGGGTCTCGGTCTTCATGGCACTTATTTCTGAGGTGCCCAATCCAGACTTGAGAAGAGGGATCGGTGTTATTGTTATCTGTTGTTAGGTGCCGTTGAGTTGGTTCTGATTCATAGCGGCCACACGCACAACAGAATGAAACGTTGCCCAGGCCTGCACCATCCTCTCCGTGTTTGAGCCATTGTTGCACCACAGTTCATCCATCTCGTGAGGGTCTTCCTCTTTTTCGCTGGCCCTCTACTTTGCCAAGCATGACATCCTTCTCCTGATAACACGTCCAAAGTAAGTGAGACAAAGTCTCACCAACCTCACTCCTAAGCAGCGTTCTGGCCATACTTCTTCCAAGACAGATTTGTCCATTCTTCTGCAGCTCATGGTAAATTCAGTATTCTTTGCCAACACCATAATTCAAAAGCATTAATTCTTCTTCAGTCTTCTTATGCATTGTCCAGTTTTCACGTGCATATGCGATGACTGAAAATACCGTGGCTGGGGTCAGGTGCACCTCAGTCCTCAAAGTGACATCTTTGCTTTTGAACACTTTTTAAAAAATCGTTTGCAGCAGATTTGCCTGACTTAATATGTTGTTTGATTTCCTGACTGCTGCTTCCATGGGCATCTTGTTTAGGAGGTGCCCAACCCAGGATTTGAGAAAGAGATATCTCCACATGCAAGACCTTCTGCTGGAAGTTTTGTCTCATTTTATGCTCTCGACCACTTGAATGAGTGGGTGTGGCCATGTTATAGAATAGGTCACTGAGGCTTAGAGACTCAAGAACTTGCCCAAGATCAGATACCATGTGTGGTAGTTATGTTTGTGTGTCAACTTGGCTGGGCCTGGTTGAGTGGCTGGGCAGCTGGTGGTAGTTATTCCCCATGATGAGACTGGCAGTCAGCTCCGTGGTGGGATCTACCACAAGCAGCTGAGTAGCTGCCTTTGGGAATATGGTCTCCTTCCTATATTTAAGGAGAAGCTTTGGGAATGATCTCTAGCCTATGTCATGACCCTGCATGTAGCTGTGTCATTGCTCAGCAGCCTACTATGCTCTCCCGACCTTGGGACTTACAGTGGACTTAAGTTAATGGCCTGCCGTGTGGTTTGGTAACATCAATACTGTGCCTTTTGACTTGCAACCTTGGGGCTTCTCAGCCTCAGCAGCCAGCAGCTGTCTGAGTGAAGAAACGCCTCTAGCTCCAGTGGGCCAGGAGCAGGAAGCAGAGCTGGACCCTGAGGTTGAGGGGCTTTCACCCAGCCCCTAGAGCCTGGCACTTTGAACTTGGACTTAAAGCCTCCAAACTGTAAGAATAAACTCCTGTTTATTAAGGCCATCCCATTTGTGGTTTATTCCTGTCAGAGCAGCACTAGGGAACCAGAACACCACGTAACTGATAAAATACTTGAGCCCACATCCATCTGGCTCCAAGCTCTCTCCTTTTGGCACTGTCTCCTGTCTGTCTTGACGTAGCCCTGGCCCTCAGTGAGACGATAATACATGAGTGAGTGAATGGGTGAATTTACAGAGCCGGGTGGTTTTGAGAATGGCTTCATGGAGCGATTTTTTTCACCCCAGACCCCCAGGAGTGCAAGCCCCAGTATGCTTCTCCCAGCATCAGGAGGTGGCGTGGGGAGCAGTAGACAGTAGATGGCAAAGCATGCCATGGGTCCCTTCCATCCCTGTATGCAGCCTTCTTGTAATGTGGCTTTGCCACTCCTTCCATCAAGAGGTGGAGTCTCTTTCCCCACTCGTGGAACTTGGGCCGGCCTTGTGGCTTGCTTTGGCCAGTTGAATGTGGCAGAAGCAATGTTACGCAACTTGCGAGATTCGGCCTTAAGAGGCCCTGCTGCTTTCACTCTTGCTGTCTAGGACAGCTACCCTCAGACTCCGTCCTCACGGCGGACAGGAGAGCCGTCCAGAGCCCGCGCTCCAGCACCAGAATGCCTGTTGGTATCCTTGCTGCACTGTCTTCCACGTGTGCCGTCTTGAGCAAGGCACTCAGCTTCTCTGTGCCTCCATCTCCTCACCTGTACAATGGGGGTAGTCATAGCACCTTCCTTATAGGGATGGTGAGAGTCCACTTATGATACGTAGAACAGTGCCAGGCAGAGTAAATGCACGTAAATGTTAGTTGTTGTTATCACATTCAATTCTCTGGAGGAGAAGCGTGAGAACAGTGGCTGTCAGTGGTTCTAACTGATTTGGCCCTTGGGGACTATTTGCTAATGTCTGGAGACATTTTTGGTTGTCATAAATGAGGCAGCTAGTAGGCATTTGACTGCTAACCAGAAGCCTGGAGGTTCAAACCCACCAGCCACTCCTCTGAATCGGAAGGAAGACTGGGCAATCTACTTCAGTAGAGAAACCGCCTCAGAAACCCAAGGAGGGGTCGCTATGAGTCGGAATCAATTTGATGGCAGTGAGTTTGGTTATTTTAATGGGTAGAGGCCAGGGATGCTGATAAACATCCTACAATGCACAGGACAGACTCCCTTCCTTAACAATTATCTTACTCTAAATGTCAATAGGGTTAAAGGTGAGAAACCCTGTTGTTTAGGGAGGGATGGTGATTGTCCCCTTTTTACAGATAAGGAAACTGAGGTTCAGAAAGGTGAAGGGATTTGCTTAAGATCACATGGCTAAAAAATAATAGCAGCTCTGGGACTTACCTCCCATCCACCTGCCTCAGAGGCTCCTCTGGTCCTGGGAAGACCAGCCCAGGGAGAGAAAGGATAAAGGGGAAGCCTACTGAGGGGTCGTGGAGAAGGCTGACAGAGGACCTTTGATTACATAAGACTACGCATTCCATGTCTCTGTGTTATACCTCCAAAAGGAGAGCTACCTGTAGGACTCACCCCAGCTACACACATAAACACACACACATACACACAACCTTTCCTCCAATGCCATTGACTTTATTGGAGTCTCGGAGCTGTTATGGGGACATCAGAGCCATGCTTGGGCTGCTGGCGCGTGACTCCACCTGGTGCTCTGGCCCTGTGCACCACCTGCCGCCACCTGGTACTTGACAGGTTGGAGTCGGTGGCAGGAGAATGCCTCATCGACTCTGCCCCCCCCCCCCGTCTTTTCTTCTGGCAGGGAGACAAGAAGTCCAGCCTCTCCTGCCACAGAGTTAATCTTGCAGGCAACCCGCTCCTGCCCCCTTCCCTGCTTCCATTAACAGTTTAGAGGATTGTCTGCTCCCAGATTAGCTGGTGCCAGGACAGGGAATCTTAGAGCCAGGGGTTGAGGGAGGCAGCTGAGGCCCCTGGGGCTGACTGGGGGATGCTTTGATTAAGGAGAGGTGTGTGTGTGTGTATGTGTATGTGTGCAAATAAGAGCATGCCGTAGCAGCTATGAGTGTGTGGGTGTGTGTGTGTTTCTCTCTGTGTTGCATGTGTGTGAAATGTGTATGTGTGTACAGGTGAATGTGACCCCTCAGTGAGTGGACGTGCATGTGGATGTGAGTCCAGTCCACTGTGATAAGGACTCACCACACTGCTTTGCCAGGCCCAGCTCAGGGCAGAGGGCCACTGACAGAGACGGGCCAGGCACAGCCCAGGTTCATGCCTAGTGTCAGGGTTCACCTTCAGAAGAGGAAACTGAGGCCCAAAGAGTGAGATTGGTTTCCCTAGAGGGGTCACATGGTGGCAAGTTTGAGTGCCTGTGTGTGTGCATGTGCATGTGTGAGAGAGAGGGAGAGAGAGAGGAGGCCATACAGTGTATGTATGAGTGTGTAGGTGTGTGTGAGAGTATGTAAAACTATGTGAGTGTGTGTATGTATGTGTATATGTGTGGGTGGGTATATAAGTATTGTGTGAGTGTGTATATGTGTGAGTGGACATGTATGTTTGAAAGTGGGTGTGTGTGCCTCTGTGCTCAAGTATGTGTGTGTAAGTGTACAGTTGTGTGTGAGTATAAAAATATGTGAGTGTGTGAATGTGTAGAGTATATGTGTGGGGGTGTGTGAGTGTATATGTTTGAAAATGGGTCTGTGTGAGTGTGTGCATGTACATGCATGTGGGTATGTGGTTGTGTGACACTGTAAGAGTATGTGAGTGTGCATATGTGTAGACTATATGTGTGTGGGTGTGTAAGAGTATGTGAATGGGCATGTATGTGTGAGTGTATGTGTATGTTTGAAAGTGATTATGTGTGTGTCTGTGTACATACATGTGGGTGTGTGGGTGTGAGAATGTGTAAGAATATGTGACTGTGTATAGAGTATATGTGTGTGAGTGTGTAAGTATGTGTGAGTGTGTATTTGTGTGAGTGTATGTGCATGTTTGAAAGTGTGTATTACTGTGTGTGTGTAAGAGTATGAATGTGTGTATGTAGAGTATATGCGTGTGGGTGTGGAAGAGTATGTGTGTGACTATGTGTATGTTTGAAAGTGGGTCTGTGTGTGTCTGTGTGTATGCATGTGCTGTGTGTGTAAGAGTATGTGTGTGTGGAGTATGTGCGTGGGTGTGTATGTGTGTATATTTGAAACTGAGTGTGTCTGTGTGTGTACATGCATGTGGGTGTGGATGTGTAGGAGTATGTGAAAGGAGATGTTTGTGAGGCTGCTGAGCCCTGTGCTGCTTTTGTGACTCTGTCAGCGTCTGCAACATCACCCACTCCCCTCCTGACCTTGACCCAGAGCTCACCAGATCTGAACCTGCCTCAGCCCGCAGCAGGGTCTCCGTATTGGCTGGAGCCATGGGGGCATCCTTGGCCTCACTCCATCTGCCCACAGGTGTGATCCGGACAGCTGTGCCTGACCTTGACCGGGAGAGCCAGGAGCGCTACGAGGTGGTGATCCAGGCCACAGATATGGCGGGCCAACTGGGCGGCCTCTCGGGCTCCACTACTGTCACCATCGTGGTCACCGACGTCAATGACAACCCACCCCGTTTTCCACAGAGTGAGTGAGGCCTTCTCGGAGGGAGGCAGTCATCTGTGTGTCTGTCCATTGGGCCTCCCAGTGACCCCTAGCACTTCTCCCCACTGGGCATCCATGGGGGGAGGCCACTGTGGGTATCTGTTCATCCAAACCACACCTCCCCAATCTTCCTTCAGGCTTCCCACCAAAAAAGGGGCTCCTGTCTGTCTGTCCACCCGAGTCATCTACTTACTGCCATCCCCTAATTATGCTTCTTGCAGAGGAAGAGCCAAAATGTGACTGATTTTCTATAATCCAGGTGGTGTGGTTACCTTCCCATGCCTCACCTTGCTTCTTGCAGAGAGGGGGCCCCATCAGTACACTCATCTGTCCATCACCCCTTGCAGCACCCCCACTTCTGGCATAGTGAGCTGCCACGTGTTCCTGACCCAGGTTTGCAGAGGAAAGTGAGGGGGGTCCCATAGGGATGACAGCAGAGGCTGCAGCCACACCCATGCAGAGAAGGACCACCCCCGTGGGGAAGTGGAGGCACTAGATCGACAGCAAGTCCCTCCTGCTCTGAGCCGGGAGAGCAGGATTCTGGGCTCCATCCCCCCTCTGCTTCTCCCATCACAGTGGGGGTGGGGTTCTCTGCACCGGCTCCCCCCCCCCCCATCAGCCCAGCCAGCTCCTCTGTCCTGGGCTGAGAAGCGGGGCGCCGACAGCCACTGGGGAAGCCGCCAGAGCTGGCAGAGACTGAATGCCGTGGGGAGCTGGGCTGATTCATATCAGGCGAGTCATTACCCGAGGTCTGCTGCACTCACATTAGCCCCGCCACAGGGGACTGACCCCCGCGAGATAAGGGAATCCAATCCCTGAGCTGAGTGCGCACAACATCGGGGCCTACCGCCTCAGCCCCGACAGAACCGGTGGGCAGAGCCGCCACCAGTGCTGCGTGGCCAAGGAGCCTGGCATGGAGCCAGCCTACCTCTGCTCCCCCCTGCCCAGCCCCCACCCACCGATGAGGAGTCCAAAACACCATGAAGAGGGGTGGGGGCACCGACTCTCCTGCCCCCCACGCCAGACTGCATGCGGGCTCTGAGCTGGAGGGAGGAGGTCGAGTCCCAGAAAGACAGTTGTCTGTTCCCTCCCTCCTTCATTTTCTTTTGTAACATTTCTGTTGTGTGAAATTGAGCACACAAACACGCCAGTAAAACCAGTTGCCAGCAAATCAATTCTACTCTCGGTGACCTCATGTGTGTCGCAGCACTTCTGCTGCTCCATGGGGTTTCAGTGGCCGATCTGACACAAGATCACCAGGCCTTTATTCCAAGGTGCCTGTGAGTGGGTTCAAACTGCCAGCCTTTCAGTTAAGTCCGGTGCTTAACCACTTATGCAACCCAGCACACAAATAAAAGGACACAAAACAGAAATGCCATTCTAACAAATAATTACAAATCAAATACTCCAGTACACACCACCCCAGAAGCCACCACATGCCTTTTCCTGATTGTAACTGCTCCCCCCGTCCTCCCTCCTGCTCCACTAATCTGCTTTCATGATGATCATCTCCATGCTATTCCTGAGGGTCTGTTTGCCTAGGTCTGCATCACCAAACATCACAGTTTACTTTCACCTGCTTTTGAACCTTGTGTAAGTGGAATCATACAATATAGTTTGTCTTTTGCCTTTTTGTCTCTCAAATTATGTTTATGAAGTCCATCTCTGTTGTTGCTTGTAGCTCTCATTTATTCATTTTCTTTGCTGTATAGTATTCCATTGTATGGATAGACCACAATTTTTCTATGCTACTGTTGATGGGAGGTGTCCTTGGATGGCACCAAGGTCAAGAACTTCACTAGTGAAATGTTGGTTATTCAGACCCACCCCGAGACGAAGACAGGCCTGGCAATCTACTTCCCTTGGAAACCCTCTGAAGCAGTTCTACTCTGACACACATGGGGCGTCAGCAGTGCAAGTAACAGTTGATGGACATGGCTTCTTCCCGCTTGGGGCTATTAGGAAAGCTACTGCTGTGAATGCTTCATACATGCCTCCCGGTGCCTATCTGCATGAATTTCTCTAAGGTACATAGAGCAGTAGTAGTAATTGCTGGGCTCTAGGATATACTCGGGAGCCCTGGTGGCATAGTGCCTAAGGCATTTGACTGCTAACCAGAAGTCTGGCTGTTCAAACCCACCAGCCACTCCTCAGAAGGAAGGTTGGGCAATCTACTTCCCAAGGAGGGGTCACTGTGAGTCAGATTCGACTCAGTGGCAATGAGTTTGGTTTTTGGTTTTTCAGGATATACTCATCTTCCACCAAAATCAAAATCAAACTCATTGCCATCGAGTCACTTTGACTACAGTGACCCCTCCTTGGGTTTCCGAGGTGGTATCTCTACAGAAGTAGATTGCCTAATCTTCCTTTTACTAAATAAAGCCAAATTCTTTTCTGCCCTGAAGAAATGTGAGTGTCCACCACACCACGTCCTCACCAACACTTGGTATTGTCTGACTGTTTAATTTGTGCTAATCTAGGGGGTGTATTCAGGGAGCTGGGGCTGGTTTTCATTCATTCACTCACAAGTCACTCACACATTTCATTTATGTGACAGGCTGGTGTTCTGCCAGGCGCCAAGGATGCCTGATGAATAAGAGATGCGGTCCCTGCCTTCCAGGCTGTCATACCTGAGAGAGAGAGAGAGAGAGAATAAGCAGAAAATGATAGCAAAATGCAGGAAGTGCTACTGCAGAGAAGTCTCGGAGGCCATGGGGGCCGTGGGGGCACAAGAGCCAAGCCTAGAGACTGGGTAGATTCCTGAGATGGAGTAACATTCAGTGAGACTAGAAGGCAGACTGGGAATTGGAGGCCAAGGCAGAGTGCAGAACAGGGAAAGTGAGTGCCTGGAGGTGAGAGAGAGCAAGTCGTATGTGAGGGATTATGAGAACTTCAGCCAGGCTGAAATTAGGATTGGGGGTGGAGGAGGATGAGGCTGGAGAAGACAGCAGGGGCCAGGCAGAAGACATCTTGAAGGGCGAGTCAAGAGGTTTGCGACTCTATGCTGAAGGCAGTGGGGAGCTATAGAAAGGATTTAAGCAAGGGAGTGACACATCAGCTTGTGTTATAGAGAGAGCCCTTTGGCTGTTGTGTGCTAATGGAATGGAAGTGGTCACTCCACACAAGGGGCACGTCCCCAAGAGCCCCCTCTCCCTCCGCACCGGCCCAGTTTCCCCTGGGCTGGCCTGTCCATCAGCAAGTCATCCTCACCTGCTCTGAGAGGAGAGCTGTTTGCATCCCATGTGACCTCATGCCTTCTGGTGTCCCCCATGCTTCTCCCCTCAAGTCACAATGGTCATCTTGCCATTCTTGGAACATGCTAGACATTGCACCCACCCCAGGGCCTTTGCACCTGCTGTCCCCTCCATCTGGAGTGCTCTTGTCCACTTGACTCACTCCCTCATCTCCCTCAGATCTTTGCAAAAATTTCCACCTTCTCAGCAAGGCCCTTCTTGGTCACCCTGCAAACCCCCATCATCACTCTCCATCCAGATGCCCTGCTTCGTTTTTCTCCTAAGTGCATACCCCCGTGGAAGTGCACCCCCATGGAAGTGCACACCCCCGTGGAAGTGCACACCCCCATAGAACATACTGTGTGCTTTACCGATGTGGTTGCTTGGTGTCTGTCTTCTGCCATTGAAAGGAACACACCATGAAAGCTGGAAGTTCTGTCTTTTGTTTGTTGCTGTAACCCCAATGCCTAGAACTGTGCCTGGTACATCATAGATGCTTGATAAATATGTTGCAGTGGAGGAAAAAATGCCATTAACATCAACAACTTGTCTAGGAAAACATCAGTAGGAAGCACAACCATTTCAATCCAGTGTGTTCCACTTTTCAAGCATGTGGTAGGCACTGCACTGAGCATTGTACATGCATCATCATCTAAGTTCACTGTCATAACGACAGTGCTCTTAGAAAGGTACTATTATTGTTTTACGACTATTCCAATTTATTTAATGTGATGCTGTCCTTGGAAAATGAAACAGCTACTCTAAACAAATTATGAGATTAATAAATCATGTAAGGCAGTTGTTTTAAAATGATATCGCCTCTGTTTTAAGGAGTGGGCTATTATTATTCCCATTCTACAGATGAGGAAAGTGAGGCCAGGATCACACAGCTAGGACAGATTCCAGAGCCTTGACTTCTTTATCACAGCGCTATTCTATCCCTGTTGTTGGACAGATGGGGAAACCGAGGCACGAAGAAATACAGGGACTTTCTCAAGTCGATCTGCAAATTGAGGCAGGGTCAGAATTGGGCCCTCCGAGGAGGCCTGATGCTATAACTGTTAAGCACTCAGTGGCAACCAAAAGGTTGGCAATTTGAACCCACTAGGGAGCTCTGGTGTCTCTGTGGTTAAAGCATTGGGCTGCTAACCAAAAGGTTGGCCGTTCAAACCCATCAGTCACTCC